CATAAATTTTTAATAAATAATAATAATCAATTTTTATTGTCTCATTTAAAGTCTATTTTCTATCTAGAAATTTTGAAAAAATAAATCATGTCTACGATCTACAACATAATCACAAAATCTAATATAGAAATTTAAAAAAATATATCCATTTAATCTTTAATCTTTGCATGCACTATAACATTTCTAAACAAACTTATCTTCTTATAGTTTCCGATCCTTTTGTGTTCACCTTTTTAGTCGTTGCCTACATTTAACCCAAGTGAAGTGCCTTGAAAATAATAAAACGCCATATTTCAAGCAAACTCCTATCGTTGAAGTAGTTATGCAAATTTCAAGAGCGACTCCCTCTACTTGAGATGGTAAGAGCGGAGAGCTCTGCCAGTGACATTTTTAATTATTCAATGAAAACTCGATCATGGATATAGACTTAAAATGTTCATTGTTACATTAATTTCTTTTAATATTTGATCATATTTATCTTATATCGATGTACAATTTTCGTCATTGTCATAAATCGTAATCATAAAAATATCTTTATATATCGAAATACCAAAAGTAACCTATTTAAATTAAAAATAACGGAAATTAGATACAATGCAAATTTATATTATTACATGTTTTGTAATATATTATATAAAATTATATCTATATCTTTTCCAAAATTTTCATAATTATCATAGATTATAGCATAAATTTTGTGTTTATTTCCATTTTATTTCTTTTAACCGCATAATTTAAAGAAATATATCTGTTATTTTTCTCTGATTTAAATTGCAAACATTTTATTGTACGCTATATCACGCTACAAAGCATGCTCTATATAACTCACTGTATGCGCGGTCTTCGTAACTCACACTTCTTTATAAATATTAAATGACTACAGAGAGTCCATGTGTGTCCTATGGAATCAGATATTGCTATCTTTTATCGTCTTTGATCTTCTGAAAAGGAAATTGTTTAGAGGACAGAAACTCAGATATATATTTTTCAGCGTTATATTTAATCAATATATATATATATATATACACACACACATGTTGGAATAAAAAAAGTTTGATATAATATTGACAGAATCATTATTTATTCTGCAATTATAATAATAATTACAACAAAGATAAGGAATTTATTTATATATAAAAATGTTTTAATAATAAAATATATTTAATTGAAATTTATCTTATTTTTAAAACTTAAGAAGCTTATATTCCATAAATATGATTTCGTTGTATACTATATACGAAACAGATAATTTCGCTTTTTCGCGTCAAGTAAGACAGATCGATAGAATACGAATCTAATAAATCCGTAATGAGTGCAATCAAAGCGGTATCGCGTAACTACATGTTACATGTTACTCGCGCCAGAAGCAATTGTGTCCGCAATACCACTTCTCATAGGCACAAATCTATGACATATTCTCGACTGCTCTTCAATTTGCCTACCCCATAATTGTAAATCACAGCAACAAGTTACTAACTGGTTGTCTAATGCGAGTGCCGATATGTACTTAGTTCCAATCCGGATTTTTCATTGATCAGATATTGATAGAGAAAATAATTAATATTATTGTTCATATCTCTAAAGAAAGGAAAATTATAAAGCTTCTGATAAAATTCTCTTTCTTTTTTATATATCTATACTAGAGGAAGTTAAAAATAAAGAATAACGATTTTATGAAATACATAACGTCTCTCTGAGTGTACAACGAGTACATATAAGTCTCAAGAGTAAAATTAGCGATCAACTTGTCATTCGATTAGCCGTTTTCTCTGATTTCCAGCTGCGCTGTACTTTTTCTAGCTTTTCACCCCGCATTGTGGCAATTACCGGCATGCCGGCGAACGGTGGAGTCAGCTAAACAAAAGACCGTTAAAGCTATCCCCGATATCCGCATCCTCTGCTTCCGTCCGATCTCGTTTATTTCGTATCAACCTTTTCCATCAGCTTCATCAAGTGTTTCTTTTGTGCCGCCTTTCTTTTCCGATCGCTAGAATGAATCGCACAATTTTACGATTGTCTTATCCCCCTCTCTCTTCTTTGAGAATATTATTATATGTATATATCTGAATTGCAACAGTTTCAATTGGTGTTAAATATTATTCTATTGCAATCAAAATTAAATTCTTTCTCAGCGAATTTCAAAATACTAATCAGTTTAACATTTAACATAATATATACGATTAATGGCATACTCAATGATTGTGTGATATCTCTCGTGATAATTATAATCATTTTTAAGAATTGATCAATGATCAATTTCGTACAGATATCAAGATAAATGATATTGTAGAATGTAATGTATAGATCGATTTAATCGATTCAATCATAAAAACGAATTCGTGTAGGCATGACGCGAGAGGAGGAATTTAGAATTAAACACCAAGTGGACTCGAGACACTCCAGGGTTAAATAAATCGACCCGTATATGAAGTCGTTGCCAAAGTTACGTGAGCGCACTCGTAGTCAAAGCGGGGCTCGCTTATCTCTTTGGTTATTCAATTATGACGATTTGATCCGAAGGAGGGTATACGTCTCGCACACCAGCACGCTTTGTACCGATGCGGCAGCGGAGGCCCTTCCGCGATAAATTGAGCTCTCAAGAAGGTCTGCGATTGCCGTATATATGTGAATCGATGTGGAAAAGGTGAATGGGCTTGCAGCAGTTCTGATGGCGCTGGAGAAGAAAGGACGGCGATGGGTTTCGCCTCTTTCTCTCTTCTCTCTTTTTTCCCAGCCCTATAATGTACGCACATACACACGTCTGGCCTCGATATGCAAAATCGCTGAATATGGCCGTAAAACGCAGGCGGCGTGTATGCCAATATGGCGAGTATGGGAGATCGAGTTCTCTTCTTCTCTTTCTTTCTTCTTTGTGCAGCCGATAGAGAATGGAAATATTAACGATAACATTTTCACGTGCCATAATGTTTTTTAAACGTTATGATTGACAGCCTACATATTGGTTAATAACCGCGTAATTATTTTAACAATTTATTTTATACGAATATTGGCGGCTGTATTCTTATTTTTCATTAGATTGCTTGCGATAACCATTTTTTTAATAACAATTGCGATTGATCTAAAGTTAGAACACGAACAAAGCGATATATTTTTATATGTCAAACCAGATTTACTACTGAAAATTGATCAAAATTTTGGCACGTCCCAAGAAAACGATATATTTTACGTTTGTAAGCGTCCAACCATTTTCGAACAATCGTTTCTCCATGTCGACTGAAATGTCTCATTTCCTAAAAGGAACCCAATTTCCGCGTAGTTCCGAACAATCGGGAATAAGACGCGAACGAGATCGTGATTTGCAAACGATTGAATTCAAATTATGGAGATCTTGCTAAAGTGACAGAACGGAAGTTCTTCTTTCCTTTTACTTGCCGTACAAAATTTTTTTCTTCGTTTCTTAGATATTCTATTATTTCGGCGTACCTATTAAGAATATGACAATTTAAAAAAATTCTGTTTTTATAAACAAAACGAGATATAGTTATATTAATCTTTGAAATATGAGGAAATTATAAATTCATCTTTGTTATTTTTTTGCACAATTATATCCTATTCAAAGTAATATTTGTGTCATAATACATATTAGTTTACACAACATAGCAATCAACGTCAATAATAATCATTTAATGTTAATAATGATTAATAAAAGTTTATTAGTATTTAAAAAAAGATTTTTAAAATTAAATGTGTCAGATAGAAATCAACCTTAAAAATATGATTAACTTAAAATAAGTCGTAGTAAGAATATTGATAATGAGATTATTCTGTATTTCATAATCAAATTGACATTAGAAGATAATTATCTCTTAAGATAACGATATCATTTCGAAGCTGCGAATACGTATTCGGGTGCTATTCTATGTAGAAACTAAATAAATAACTAATAATTAATTTAGTTTTTAGTTCATTCTTAAAAAAAATTTTGTTTTATAAATATATAATTTTTTATGAAAAAATTAGTAGCATTTTTTATAAAAATTCTAAACATTTTTTATTTTATTTATATTGGATTATATTAGCTTATAAGTTTATTTATCATTAATTAATGCGTTTTTTAAACGAATATAATAGAATAAAGAGCTATGAATCTATATCGCAGTCTGTAATCCTTTGCATTTTTACATCAAAATGGTGACAACAAGACTAGAATATCTATCAATCGCAATTTTGTGACGATATTTTAGAGATAGTATCGTGGAAGCGACGACGATCAAATACGATTTTCCTACCCCTTCGGATCTTTCCATCTCACCCGTTTTCGACTCATTTTGTGCTACTTCTCTGATGTCATTTGGAAAAAAAAAATCAATATTATTCTTCACATATCTTATTGGTCTTGCCGAAAGGCGCGAGTTTATGAGAAAATGACGACGAAGGAGGAAGATTTTGTGTTCGTCTTCGGCAGAAACGAAAGCACAGCGATGGAGAGAGAGAGAGAGCGAACGGACGAGATAGAGGTAGAGAGCTAGAGCTGGCCGTTGTGTGAAAGCGTCAGCACACACGTTTGTATGGTGGGTTGCCCGACAATAGGCATTGTGCACCCGCCATAACCAGGAACCGAACGCGACAGCACCACGCCAGCATTGTCCGAGTGTCAGCCAGCATCCTTCTCCTCTCTCGCTTTCTCTCCCTGACTCTCTTGCGCTCATCCTACATTTCGTTCATTTCGTTTCACTCTTTATAAATCCCTTCTTTTCTCATTTACTCGCTTACCTCGACCCTCGTCTTCTTAACATTTTGACCGAGTATGATCTGCAACAACCCTGCAGATGTAAATTAAAACGAAACTGTCGCTATTCGCGATCGTTGTGTGAAATATTTAAGTCGCAGATTTATCATGATACACAAATGTAATGACACGCGTATCTGATAAGGAATCGTAGAGAAGGGTGGGAGCGATAGAACAATTTAGACTGATAAGAAGGATCCATTGATCGGGTATATAAAGAGGCCTTAGATAGTCGAATGCACAATCTGGTGTGATTCGTGCGAAGAGTGAAATTAAAAAAAAGAAAAACTTTCAAGCCTCAAAATGAAAGGTAAGTCTATTGCTTGAATAAGATGTGATCAATGAGTTTTAAATACAGATATTCAGTATAATTGTCATGTAAATTACACAAAAATATATTATAATAAATATAGGGCATAATGTTCTGTAAATATCAAAATTAATTTGATTTTTTTTATCAAATTGAAGTTGTTTTTAAAATATGCATAGCAAAACTTACGAAAAAAGTTATAATCTGATTAAAACTGTGGTTATAATTTAGAAATAAAAAATTTGTGCTATACTTTACTGTAAATTTGCATTTTTACTTGATCTATAAATCTATATAATTTATCATGTAAAATAATACTCACATTGTATACGTCTCATATCACACGTGTTCTCACTATTAAAGCTTAAGCAAAAAATTAATGAAAGATAGTTCGTTTACTTGTGTTTATATTTTCTAATTTATATTTAATAAATTTTAGCCATATTCTCCATTGTGCTTTTGGTGTGCTTGTTGGGTGTATTTTATGCCCAAGCACAGGAAGTCCGATGCCCAGATAGAGTACCAAGAGAAGACGAGGAAGCCATTCTCATTCCTCATCCCACCAACTGCAAACATTACTTCGTCTGTGACTATGGCCGACCGATTGTGATGAAGTGTCCTGATGACTTACACTTCAATCCCACAAAAAAAGTTTGCGATTTTCCGTTTCAAGCTGGATGCATTGTTTATCCCTAATCAGTTTATATCTACAATGATAGAATTGCCTGCAACATATACCGATGTGTGGACCGCTATTGTATTGTGTTATTGTATTACGTTATCACTGCACGGCTTATACAAACGACATTATATTGTACATACTTTTTAATGAATAAATTATCCATTGCTTAATATTATTTCGTGTACGTTTATGAGTCTATTCAATTTAATTAATTAGTAAATGGCAGGCAAAATCAATACTACCCGATGAAGATTGCTTGATAATATGATAACAAGTGTTCGTGATAGATCAATCAGATCCGAAATCAACAATTGCGTGTTCAAATTCTGCTGAGATTTTATTTAAATTGTACACGAATTTCAATCATTTAAATATAAGTTATTTGTATCACTCAATGTTTTTTATATTCAAAAAATCTTTTTATTTTTTTCTCAAGAGATTAAAATTATAACTTAAAAATTTTTAATTATGTTTTAATGTTTCGTATTCCATTTTGTTAGATTTCTATCTTTTTTTTTATTTTTTTTCAAATTATTTATTGTGAAATAGAAGTTCAAATTTTACAAGAACTTAAATATTACAAAATGTTAAATATTATTTATTATGTGTAACATAGTAAACAATCTATAAGTGTTGATAAGTATAATAAGTAACATTATCGAAGAACTTGTAAAAGCACTCGAGTATAAAAGTTAATACATTTGTAGTGTATAATTTTCGTATCTGTAGAAATACGTTGCACGCGTATGTGAATTAAATATTACAATCGTAATGAAGAAACAATTTCGACGTATTTCAAAATAAAAAAAAAAACGTTACGGGTTTGCGAAATATACATACATATATCTTGCATCAAATTACAGTGGAAATCTTCGCGGTACGCGAATATTTCGCCACATCTTAGCATCAATAGTTTAATGTCAAACAGGTGTGCAAGTGCGTTTTATGTAACAGGCGGCAACGAATAAATCTAGAATAGTAATTGCACGCATATGAATGAGAATAGGTCAGCCATGAAGAATTTACTACTTAATCGCACTTTTCCGGAATTGCTGCGTTTAGAGAAACTCTTCTGCGCAACAATGATCATTTAAAGAATAAGTACTCCAGAATTAGGTTAAAAACCTTTAAATATTTCTTTATATGTATCTCTTAGGTCAGAAACATAATATGCATTTTACACTTCGCGTACATCCTTAAAACATAAATAATTTTTGTATTTCTATTTTTTATACTTTATACTGTTTTTTGTACAATTCTTGGGATACTTTAAATGCGTACCTATAGAAAAGAAGAATGACAAACTGAAGGATAGAATAATAACAAGTAGAGTGAAAAGCAGTACAATGAGCGGATGACAGATAATAGGAAAGACCTCATCATTGAACGGTGACACTGAAATTCCCTATTTCGTTTCGAGCTCTGATAGAGTTCGTCGCTTTCATCGCCTACGCCGCTACAAACTCTTCATGTTACATCGCGTCGCGCCGACGACGTCGCTCTTCGTCCGTCAGTTAATGTCGTATTCTCCTTGCAAAAAGGAGAATGGGAGAAAGAGGCGCGTGAAAGGAAAGGAACGAACGAAGAGTCGGACAGAGAACTGCGAACGCGGATCGAGACTTCTTATCGGTACGAGTCAGCTACCGGCTGCCGCCAGCCAGCTCGCTTACGCGCATCTCGTATGTTCCTTTTCATCCCTCGTTTCTCTCACTTCCACCCTCGTCGCGCTCTCTCTCTCGCCCGCAATACCTTTTTTCTTCCGTTACTTCCGTACCGGCTTCTCGCTTTACTTCTGCCATTTCCCACCTTGACACTCGCCGAAATGTATCCGGTCGGTGGAAGCGTCGACGAGGGCGCCGTTAATGGATTCTATTCTGTATCAAATTGGAAACCGATTGGTTGCCGTCATTGTCATAAGATGCGCCGCGAGATAGATGTATATCGATTGATCCGGGAGCGTTTCATCATTTGTTAATTTTACTGTGGCGAAAGGGGACCTATAATTGTCGAGGCTATATTCTTTACACTACAAAAAATAAGTGTGTTCGACGTGTGTTTAACGTGTGTGGAAATAAAACATAATGCACTTTATCACGTGTACTGAGCGATTGCTGTGTTGATGCTACACACTTATTCGTTCTGCAACGCACGTAAGCGTGTAGTTTCAACATGTTAGAAGGTGTACACACTTTATATCAGCAACACGTTAATTCGAACACACATAAAGTGTGTTGAATCAATACGAGAAATACTATTTTACACATATTCTACGATGCAACACACGTTGATAATAACACACGAGCGAAAATAACACGGAAAAAAGCAACACAGTTTAAGCGTGTTAAGGAGGTTGGTTGCCGTCTGGTATCAGATCATCCGATAGATGGCATCCGATAAGATCCGTTTCTCAAATTTAAAATAATGACGAAAGATGATATAAGAATGATGACGGAACTGCACATTGCACAACTTGTATATAAGTTGTTTCGTGGCATACACTTTTATAATAAAGCGTGGCACTCTTTTGAATTAATGTGACGTTAATGTAACTTTATTTTAGTAAATAATATCTTTATTTTTGAAGACTGCACACTACAAACACAAGTGTGTTACTTTTACACATTTTAAGTGCATTATTCATTGTAGACTTCTTACACGTTTTATCGTGTGTAAATTAAAAACACACTTGAAGTGAATTTAATTTACACACGATAAAGTGTGTAAAAAGTGTCTACAATGAATAACGCACTTAAAATGTGTAAAAATAACACATTTGTTTTTGTAGTGTAATCATGTTGATAAATACATATAATAAATATTTGCAAATATACTTTTTTGTCTCGCATAAAGATGCACGAAAGTGTTATCAATTGAGAAATCCGAAGATAAAATTATTACGGTATAATATAGTTTCAAAACAATTTTTTATCATCATCATGATTTTAGAAAAGCTGCTAACGATAAATTCTCATAAAACCGTATTTATCCTTCTCACAAAATGCGGATGTACTTCATAATTACAAGTTCGTATTTTAGCACAAACTGTATTTAACCTTTACTCATTTGCGCCGTTCTTCTCCGCTGTTTGGAAAATAAAGAAAATTTGGGATACATAATCCACCGTTTAATTTATGTAGCTTGTTTTACCAGGTGGTACGTTCCGTCAAGGCGTTGTGCGCGGCAGGAGGCGAGGGTGAATTAATAGCCAGACATTTTTCTAAGTAAGGAAGATAGAGAATGCAAAAGTGAGGAGGGATAACGAAAGAGAAAGAGAGACGCAGTGATTATAAAACGTTCAGATGGCGTGCAAAGAACGCGGAAGCCTCCTTTTGCACGAGACGTGCAGTAAGCTTAGGCTTCGTCGGCAGATTACAGTCTTGTTGCGTGTCTCCTTGGACTTGTACATTTATTACATGAATTACTAGCATTTTTTATTGAATAGTATTATCGCTTTTCAATTGCTGATATCAAACCGTGCCTTGCTTTTTGACTGAGTTCTTTAACATTGAAGGTAACGAAATAAAGAAAAATGATTAAACAATAGAAAACTTGAAAATTCTAAATTTTAACTCGCTATTACTTTCACATTGTTAGTAGACATAGTTAACAGAACTGCAACATCGTATTCTTTTCAGTAAATAATAATAAATCATACTTTCTGGCAGTACTGGAAGTAATTTGGCACAAAACATTAAGTAATCGACAGAATACTTTGCGCAATTCATACTTACCGTTAAGATTGTATTAGTATTTTATTTATGCCAAAATTTACGCAGCTTATCGAGAAGTTAAAAGCGATATCATAAGTCTAGATCTTTGCAAAGTAACATATTCTGAAAGAAGAATGTGCTGAAAGCAATATGAGAATTCAACGCATCACATTATATTTATTCAACTAAATGGCACTTCAACAATATTGTTTTTACACAATCCATGTTTGGACTGTGTATATATATAAATGACAGACCAATAGAAAATTTTAAAGCTATCCTTTTTAACTTAAATTTCTAACAACACTGTTGTAGCAATTTACGTGAGTTTAAAACTATTAAAATGAGCGATTATATATTTCCCATGAGTTTTAAGATACGTATTTCATGGATAAAATTTTTAGGCAATTTTCATGACAAAGCCGCTTTCTCATCCTTTAGTACAATAAACTTATCAAAATATTGTTTTTCTGAAAGATCCAACTTTACGAAGATAGCAAGAAATTCTATTTTCCTGTTCTATGTGAAATAGCTTCTATCACGTATTACACATTAAATATTTTTATTTCTTTTCGGTTCTACGTCGGGAAAATACGGATATTGTCGAGCATTATTACACTTAGAAACTCTGTATAATAAAGATTATGAAAATTTTAGCGTATCTTTCTTCAATAGCATCGCTGAAACCTTATGAGAAGTGCTGATATCTTTTTGTTTGCCATATTACGGAATGAAAAAGTAGAGCAGAGCCGGCTGAACGGCTGGCAGTCGTCCTACGATGTCCCCGAGGAAATCAAATTATCGATATATGTGGAACCGATGTGCACACGTAACGTATATATGACGTATGAAGTGCAAGCTGAGAGCACAGGTGGCCGACTGATATTGGTTTTGCTTCCGGATTTGGCGGACACCCCTTACAGCGGTAGACGCAAGCGAGACTCGCTACGAAGGGCAATTACCCCACTAAATATTCACAAGTTCATTACAAGCGGAGTTGGATGCATTCACCCTTTTCCCTTCTCTCATCCTCTCCGCTCTTTTGCCTCTTGTCTTTACTTTCTTGTTCCTCCAATACAAGTACACATTTTTGAAATAGACTTAGCTCCATAGGGTATTTCTTTCTTTACGACGCAAGTAAATATTGTAAATAAAAAATTTTCTATTTCGGAAATTAGTGTGTAATTATTTTTCCCGCGGCGTGAATATAAATTCTCGGTGAGTATAATAGTTATGCGCAATGCTCAATCGCATGATAGATAAAATTGTTATAAATTATAATATCTTTTGAAAGGTAAATTTGCTGGTAAAGACGCGAATTTTGAAGTATATGTATAATATTCGCTTATTGCGCGAAAATTGAGATGTTTTTAATACAATTCTTCATTGTTGATTACATAATAAGAATAATTCATGCCTTTCTCTTTACATGCCATCAATAAATATCTTAAAGCGATAATTAAAA